AATATAAAATAAATATTAAATTTTAATTTTATTAAAATGAGCAAAACATTATTATATAAAATTTATAATTTTTAAATTATAAAATATTTATTATCATCATCATCGTTATTTTGTAAAAAAAAAATACTAGTTATAAAATTATTCATATTTTAAAATACTTACCTTCAAAGTTTTTCTATACTAGATTATATGTATTGTGTAATTTCATGCAAAGATCAAAATAATTTTATTAAAAAATGAATAAATATTATTAACTGTTGTTAAAAATAATATTTAATGAATAATAATTCATTTGATCCCTCAATTGTAATTAAAAGTTTATTTTAATATTCTTTTATATTTTTAAACAATTAATTTAAAAGTCAATAAATTTTTCAAAAATATATGAAATTTATAATTTGTTAAATTATAAAATATTTATCATCATCATCATCATCGTCATTTTGTAAAATAAATACTAGTATAAATTTTTTATAAAATTATTCATATTTTAAAATACTTACTCTCAAAGTTTTTCTATACTAGATTATATGTATTGTGTAATTTCATGCAAAAATCAAAATTTATCGAGTTATAAAATAATTTGCAAAAGAATATTTAAAGATTTTAATGTAGAAAGTTTTTTTTTCACATACAAAAAATAAATAAATAAAGTTAACGTTTTTACATAAATATCACCCTATCCATTTAACTCTCGAACGGTAGCCCTTCACATAGCACTCGCAAAAGCCCAAATTTCCAAATAACCCAGTTACCAAGCCTCTGCTCAACAAACCCTCAAACCCATGACCAGTGAGCTTTTTGAGTTTACTATTCTTAATATTAATGATTATTTTTTATTAATTAATAATCTTAAGTATTATTTATTTGAAAGTAATCGTATGACGACTCTTATTTGAACCTGAACTCGTGTATCTGAGTAATTGATGATTTTAAATTTTGTATTAAACTCTATTATATCAATCTAATTTTATTATTGATTAATCGACGATGTGACGATACACCCTTAGGTGAAATGTGTACTGATAACACTTCCACTGGGGGAGCTAAACGTTTGAAAACCACATGTTAGAGAGCTAGCAAGATTTGCCATGCTGTCCGCAACCCGATTTCCTTCCCTTACTACATGCATAAACTGCAGCCTCCATCTACGTCGAACAAACTCAAGAATGTGGAACAGAGGAGAGGTCAACTCCATGCTCAGACCTTGTTTTAGATGAAGCCAGGCTTCCTGCTATCAGTTTCGAAAATGACAGGCCTCAGTCCCAGATCCCAAACCAAGGAAAGGCCTTCCATTACACCCACAGTTCGGCATCAAGCACCGAGCACATTCCAATGGTTTTTGCGAAACCGTCCATCCACATGCCGTCCCTATTTCGAATGACCCCTCCACAAACCGCCAATTGTTTGCATGAATTATTAATTTTTTTTACCTTGCTCAGAGTGATATAATTAATAGTACTAGAGTATTATTTCTAGAATTATGCTTAAACTGATGATATGTATATAGATGACACAATATGGAATACTTTACAATAAAATTTTTAAAATACTATGATTATGATAATGAGCAATTCATATTAGAATAGAATTATTACTATATACCTTAATATGCGTGCCTTGATTTGTACGTTGATTGCTGGCATGATTTGTCTGCTTGAGTTATCTACTTCAGCTGGTCAGTACAGTAGTTGTGCACCAATAAGCTTCATAAAGTTGAACATTCAGATTTTTCTTTTCATGTGTAAGTTATCGTTTCTGGATTTATGATGAGACAACGTCACTGAGGAGTCATTTGAATTTTATATAGTATAATAATTGAATACTTAAGTGAGTATTTATATTATGAGACCCTTGGTGTGTCGAGGGGAGAATTGTATATCAAAATGTTTAGCGTGTGAAGCAAGAGTTTAGGTGATTGATTTACATTTTATTATATAATCGGTAAGTCAATGAAAGATTTTGATATATGACTGTTGTGATTGATGAAATGGAATCAATTTAGGTGAGTGATTAAGTATATCAGTTTTAGGGAAAAGTAAGAGATAAAGATCAATTTTGTACAATATGAATGTGATGATTGTTAAAGTGTATTATAAATGTTGTGGCGACATAACATCAAGAATTTTAGGTTGAAACAGAGTGACACCATTTTCATCGACTCTGGGTTGGAGATGATCTAAACACGACATAGTTATAGATTAATAAATGAGATAATTCATCTACAGAGGTTAGATCATTTAACCTTATTAGAGCTAGAATAAGAGATTGAATACTCTCATAACGTGATTATATTAGTGCCAGTTCGAAGAATGGTGACTCTAAATTTATTTTTTGTGTCCTATATGTTAAGGTGTCAAGACTATAAAAAGTAAATACATTATTAAATTAAGGGGGTTAACACTTAATTTCACTTATTTTAAAATCGAAATGGGTTAAAAGTAATCAAACCAAAAAAATATTGGTCTGAATTTAATATCATTAATTTAAAATTGGCATGATGCTAAAAATAAATCATAATTTGAAATATATATATATATATAATTTAATGTTAATGATTTGAAAATTATCAATGACTTCAAATGCAATTGAAACATTTAAGTCGGGAGCCATGGCTCCTCCCACCTACAACGTGCCTCCTTCCATATCTAAGACATTTGTGTTGTTTTAATGTTATTTTATGCGTGCACAAATCTATGATTGCATTATCATTTTGTATACTCAATTTATTATAATATTTTATATACTAACCAATCATTTTAGGAATATTTTGGTATCTTTTATGTATGTGTTATGTTTATGATAGTTTTTAGATTATATCATCTTATTTGTAATTCATCATAATGATTTAATTTTAAAATATCTTATGTTATAGTATAGATTTTGTAATGTATTAATATAGTTTTGTGGTGTATTTTTTGCATGGCATCAGACGTTATATTTTGTGTTATGTCTTAAAACATATCATATTTCATCTCATTTTTATAATGTTTTATTTTTAATTTGAAATTTATTAATTAATTATCTTATTGCATCTATTGTATAGTTAATATTGTTTTCTTCTCGAAGTGAAACGATGAGATAATATTCTCAATATTACTATAATTTTTTATAATAAGGGAGCATTTGTCATTTAATCAAGCTATTATTTAACGTGCAAATTACACAAAGATGACGATCATATAAAAACATAAAACTATGTTTAATATGTAACAAACATTTTTCCTTGGAAGGAATATGCAATAACTTTTTGGTGGGTGCAATGATTGGCATTTAATCGAAATGTTCTTACGTAATAGTCGCGTAAATATAATGTTTTTCCTCTCCATCTTAAAGTACAAATAAATCTATAAGAAAATGATATACGATCATAATTTAGTTCTCTCTTAACAAATAATATATATTTTAGTGTGACAAGGTTAACTAAAATAAGATTAAAATTTAATTTATTTAATCCAAAAAAATATGTCAAGCATTTGGTTTTACTTTAATTCAACTAACTTTATTTTCGAAAGATGTTGATATCTTTTGTTTATTTATATTAGTTGAGAATGACTTGTTATTATTATAAAGTTGAATTAGGTGGTGTTTATTTTTTGAAGAGGTAAAAGGTCTGCGGTATGCGGACCACATCTGTAGGCATCTGCAGCAGAAGAGGTGGACCAAAAGTCTGCAGTCTGTAAGAAGAAGACTGTTTGTTTTTTAAAATCTGCAGACTGCTAAAATAAACTGAAATATAAATAAATTGATTTTTTAAACTTAAAAGAGTTTTGCAATTATGATATTTAAATAATTTTAGTTTTACAATACTGAAATTTAAATAATTCATACAACTACAATAATAATTTTTTTAGAAAAACAAATATCACCTTATTAATTCTATTATAAGTCTCACATAATCACATGTATTATTAGTTTTATAGAATAAAATTTATAAATGATCATTAAATTATATGATTTTTTAAATATGCAATCATGTAATACTTTTAATTTTTTAAAATATATATTCATAATTTATTTTTATAATTATATGATATTTTTAGAAAATATTTTTTAATTTATCAAATTATTTTATGATTACTATTTTTATTTAATTGTGATTATATTTTAAAAAAATTTATATTTTAAAATCCTAATTATCAAACAATGAAATCATTTTTTATTAAACAATATGGTTTAAATACTTACATTTTGTATAAAAAGATTAATATAATTTAAAAATAAAAATCCAAAAAAATATTATATTTAAACTTAAATCAAAATAATTAAAATAAATATAAAATTTTAATAATATATAAAATGATTTATATGATATAAAATTAAATATCTATAATATATTTTTTAAAAATTAATATTTAATTTATTTTAAAATTTAATATTAAAATTAATATCTATAATATAATATTAAAAAATTAATATTTAATTTATTTAAAAAAATTTAATATTAAAATTAAAATCAAATATAATATAAAATTAAATATAAAACATCTTTGAAGAGGTTAGAAGACGTCTGCAGACATAAGACCACGTCTGCGCCGCGCAGATGTTAGAAGAGCTTCTGTCTTCTAAAAACAAACAGTCTACGAAGCCCAATGTCTGCGCGTGGTCTGCGCAGCGCAGACATAAGAGCTTTGCAGACCTTACACAGTAAAAACAAACACGACCTTAGTGTTATATACTTGTGTACTTTCCTTGTAGAAAAAGGGATATTTGTCTATTTTTTATTTAATTTAATTTTTATATTTTATTCACACTAATTATATATATAATTTAAGTTAAAATTTTGATAACATTTTTTTGTAGAATAGAATTTGAAGATACAATATATCATTATTTTATACTAAAAAAATTAAACCAACTTTTAAACATACAATTAAATCAAATCTAGTCCAATTTAATTTATTTTTTTAATAGAATATAGTTTTCCTTTCCTTTTTGTAAATGGAGCTCCGCCTTTTATATCAAAGCATCTTTTGGCTTTTCATATTTTATCGCCATCTTCATCATTCCCTTTCTGAAAATTTCACCGTTTTTGTTTCTTAGCTCCTCCACAGCGCTAAACAAGTAGCAAGGCACGCCAAAGCAAATCATTCCTGCTTCTCCCATCAGGCAAGAATTTCTTTTCGTCTCTTCTAATGACTCTGCGTTCTTTTCACTTTCTTGTATGATCGATCTTCACGATGAGTTATTGATTAGATCATTTTTGGTGGATGATTTTCCGAGTTTTCTAGAGACACAGTAGAATAAAAGTAGCAATTCTTTTGTCTTTTGTTTGGAATACTGTCGAATTTGATCATCACAAGATGATCCTCTTCATCATAATACCGATTCCTTCTCTTTCTTCCATTAGGTAGTCTTTCAATTTTCCACTGGTTTAAATTTTTGAAGTGTTCTAGATCCCAAAGGAACCTTTAGGCTGTAGCGTATCCGATTCCTTTTTTGAAAAAAAAGAATGAAGTAAAATCGACTATCTGCAACCAATACATGACCGATTGCAATCCACTCGCGACTGTTGTTGATTCCTCGAATTGACTTCTAAATCCTTGAGCAAGTAGGCTGATTTCCCCCCCCCCCCCAAAAAAAACTGTCATTTTCGACGCAATAATTATAGGAGGTAATGGATATCCAAATATATATAAAAAAAAAGATGAAACTGACGGAGAAGTATAGGATGGGCTTCAGTATTCAATTACTAGTAAATTTAGCTGTCACGCTTTTATTATTATTATTATTTTTAAAAATTTAAATAAAAAGACCTTTAGATTCGGATATGCTTTAGCTTTAGCACATAGAACAAAATTAAGCTAAAGTGACGGTGTGCCTTCTTAGATGGACTCTTTTTGGTTCCACAAAGTTATTGATTCCACATGGTCGATGAATAATGATGAGAACGGTGCTGGATGGTCTTCTAAATCAGGAAAAAGGAATAGATGAAGTTAATTTTAGGCTATTTTTGTATAAATATCGAAACAATTGGATTAATTACCATTGAAATTTGTCGTGTAAAATAAAATTTTAAAGAATTTATCTAACAAGAATTATAGGTGAAATCGTAAAGAAAAATGATATAATTTTTATTAAATATAAATCTCCAAACTATGATTATTAATTATTTTATTTGAAAATTATTTTGAACTATTTATACTTTCAAATTAAGAGTGCAACATGCCGCCACTATAACAAACGTTTGTTGGTCAACTAAATTTAAAATAATAATAATAAATTTACAATCTGTTGGACAATTTTAAAAATAATTAAATTGTTAAAATTTAGATATCAAAATGATACTATTGTTAAAAACCAATAACAAATTTACATATGCTAAGTTAAAAATTATTACTTGATCACTTAATTATCTATTAATAACGTGTATGTTAAAAATATTAAAAAAAATCTGATAATGTCATATATATATATATATATATACTTCTAAAAGTTATAGATATCATTTATAAAACTACTGTTATATTTAAATATAAAATATCTAAAATAGATAATTATATAAATACCCAAGAAAATGAAAAAGAATGGCTATGAAGGGAATCTCTAACCCTTTTAGGAGAAGTAATTTACGTGTCATTTATATATAATTTGATTGCGGACTTTCTTAATAAGTAAGATATTGTGTCCCCAATATGTTTATATTTGATCTAGCAACTTAGGTGGTAAAAAATTATTATTAGTAGTTGAGGTCTCGGGTTCAAATATCAGGAATGCTAACGGTGTTACAGTTTAATGTGAAATGAGTAATTATCTTTGAATAAATAGTCTTATACTTACATCAAATTAATTAAAAAATTATCGGAGATTTTTATTTCTTATACTACTCAGTCTACTCTTGGGTTGTTAGGAACACTTCTATTAAAAGTCGTTTATTAGGTAATTATACCTGTGATACGAGAGGTAAAAAGATTCTCCCAACATCCAAAGAGTGATACACCATATAAAACCTGTGATACGAGAGGTAAAAAGATACTCCCAACATCCAAAGAGTGATACACCATATAAAATTCAACGGCTAGAGCTAAGCACACATTTTGGGACACACAAAACATGATATATTACTGATACTTAATAGTAGAGAACACTTTTCTTTCAAAGTAATAATAATAATAATTAAGAACACTTTAAAGATTCAATACGAAGGAAACAAAATTACCTTCAACAGAACTATGTTTAAAATATACTTTTTTCATCTCTTGAAGTAAAATAAAAAGTTAAAATAAATAATAAAAAAGAATTGATTGATGAATAACACTTGGTTTAATGGGAAGAGATACTAGATCTCTTATGTAAGACTTGGGGTTCGAACCCTAACGTTTGCGAATGAAATAAACTGGGCTGGGAGGATTGTCATCGCCTCTGCAGCACCTGAAATGAATTATTCGATCAATAGATCGAATACCAGTGATTAATTCAAAAAAAAATTAAAAATTACTCTCAATGAAGCTAAAATTAAAATGTAAGCTATTCGTCCTTTTAATCTTAAAAAGGCCCATATAAGGGAATTTGATGGAATCAATGGGAGCCTTTAACACCTTTGTTAGGTGGCAAATTGACAAATGTCATCTTCATCTTGCTTTTACAGCTACCGAAGAGCGGAGGATTACCCCAACAAAACTAAAATTAAAATATACGTTTTTTGGTCCCTTTAAAAAAGTTGTTTTAAAGTTAAGATTTAAAAGAAAATAAAAATTGTATCCATAAATCTTTAAAAAAAAAGGACACAAATCACCTTTTTAAGGGAATGTGATGGAATCGTCTTAAAAAAGGACACATGATTGTCGTTGTTAGGTGGCAAATTGACAATGGCATCTTCGTCTGCCTTATACACAGCTTTATTTGGCACATCATTCATATCAATTCACAAATATTAATATGGAGCTACAAGACTACGATAAGAATATGCTAGTACTCTTTCCCTGTCTTCTGCCTTCATCAATGGGAAAATTGGGGGATGCATTTTATATAATTTGGAATATGAAAAATATCGGGAATAAATTTTAAAATACTAAGGTAGATATGGCGTTATTATATATAAAAAATCCAAAAAATTCATTTATTGAACTCTCAAATAGGATTTTTAAGAAAAATACTCCCAAACTATAAACGTAGGACAATTTTACATCTTACAAAATGCGTTTAATAAATCTCACGTTTTATTGAACGCAAGACGTATCAACTTTTTAGATAAAATAATTTTTTTTGGAAAAGGCAATAAAAAAAGATGAAACTCATTTTTCGTATAATTTGAGTTATGATTTCACTTTTTGCAGTGCACGAGATCATCTTAGTGGGCAGTTTGAGGGGTATTTATAAAAAACATGTTTGAGAAGTATTGATCGAATAAATGAATTTTTAGGAGTTTTTTATATAATATCGCCGGTAGATAATGGCATATCTAAACCTTTCGACTTAAGCCCAATTTGCGTGTACGTACGATTGGGTGTGAATTTAACTGACTAAATTCATGGACTACGCATTTTCTCTATTTTTTTTTTCATTTGATTTTAGTGATGACAGGTGAACAAGTGATAAAGCCAGAATTTTTATTAATTCAATTATGGAAGGAGAGAACCTAGCCAGTATTGAAATCCCAGCAAAGGAGGAAGCTGTTAATGTAAGATCATATTTCTGTTCTCTGCGTTTTCTTTTTCGTTGCTTTTCATTTGCAATTATATTATGTTCACTTTTCAATTTCAGCAAAATGACAATTTCTGGTTCATTTTATACATTATTTCCATAAATAGTTCAAGCTATTCTGGGTTCAATCTGGCAAATTTTTCCTATTTTACTTGGCAATTTAGTCTCTTAGTTGAACTTCTACATCACTTGACATATTTGAGGCTGAGCAGTGCTTTCTAATGGTTATGGCATGATACATTATTGGCCTCTAATGGCGACTTCTCGCAGGTAGGAATCAAAGAAGATGAAGAAACCACCTTGGGGGGAGAATTCATTAAAGTAGAGAAGGAAGCATTAGATATGAAGGATGGCTCTAATGTGGCTAAGCTTGCACCCCTGCAAGAGGAGTCGGCGATCACGGAAAGAAGCGTAAGGAATTCAAGTAGAGAACTACTTGAAGCCCATGAAAAGTTGAAGGAACTCGAGCTTGAACAGGAAAGAGTGAGTGAAGCATTAAAGCATTCTGAATCAGAAAAAAACAAACTGAAGGATGAGGCTTTGCTTGCAAAGGAGAAGTTGGATGAAGTGGAAAAGAAGTATGATGAACTTGATCTCAGTCACAAAAAATTGCAGGAGCAGATCATTGAAGCTGAACAGAGATACAGTTCTCAGCTAACCGATTTGCAAGAGGCATTGCAAGCTCAAGTGGCGAAACAGAAGGAACTCACTGAAGTGAAGGAAACATTTGATGGTCTCAACATTGAGATTGAAAACTCAAGAAAGAGGATGCAAGAGTTGGAGCAGGATCTGCAGAGTTCGGCGGAAGAGGCACGGAAGTTCGAAGAATTGCATAACCAAAGCTGCTTGCATGCTGAGTCTGAGACACAAAGGGCTTTGGAGTTCGAGAGATTGCTTGAAACTGCAAAACTTAGTGCAAAAGAAATGGAAGATCAAATGGCTTCCCTCAAGGAAGAAGTCAAGGGCCTGTATGAAAAGGTTGCTGAAAACCAGAAGGTTAATGCAGCACTTCAAAGCACAACAGCTGAACTTTCTGTTGCTCAGGAGGAATTGGCACTTTCTAAAGCACTGGTGCTGGACTTGGAGCAAAGAATTGCTTCTAAGGAAGCTCTTATTAGTGAATTGACTGAAGAATTGGACTTGAGAAAAGCTTCAGAAACTAGGGTGAACGAAAATATCTCAGATTTTGAGAATATTTTTGCTGCAACCAAAGATGATCTTCAAGCTAAGGTTTCTGAGTTGGAAGATATCAAGTTGAAACTGGAGGAAGAAGTCAAAGCAAGGGAATTGGTCGAAGAAAGGCTGAAGGACAAAGAAATTCAGGTCTCCGTTGTGCAGGAAGAATTAAATAAAGTGCTAAAAGAAAAAGAAGCTCTAGAGATAGCCATGTCGGATCTCGATAGCAATGTAGCACGGACAAAGGGGTTGTGCAGCGAATTCGAAGAAAAATTGAAGCTTTCAAATGAAAATTTCTGTAAAACTGATTCTCTCTTGTCTCAGGCTCTATCTAATAATGAGGAGCTTGAACTGAAACTGAAATCTCTTGAAGATCTCCGTAGTGAATCCGGAGCTGCCGCATCAACTGCTTCTAAACAGAATCTTGAGCTGGAGGATATACTCAAGGCATCAAATGAAGCAGCAGAAGATACAAAATCGAACCCGAGGGAGATTGAACCACGTTATATAGAAGCTGAGCAGAGGAACGTGGAGCTTGAACAACAGTTAAATTTGACAGAACTAAAAGGTTTTGAAGCTGAGAAAGAACTGAAGGAATTCTCCGGGAAGATATCTGAGCTTACTACCAAATTGGGAGAGGTAGAGGAAGAAAAAGAACTGCTAAACAATCAAATGCAGGAATATCAGGAGAAGGCAAACACGCTAGAATCAGCTCTAAATCAGTCAGCAATTAAAAACTCAGAGCTTACGGAGGAATTGAAGATTGCTGCTGAGAAAAGCGCTCAACATAAAGACCGAGCTAATATGAGTCATCAGCGCAGCCTTGAGCTAGAGGATCTGCTCCAGACTTCTCATTCCAAATTAGAGGGAGGCGACACGAAGGTCAATGAGTTGGAGCTGTTGCTTGAAGCAGAGAAATACAGGATTCAAGAACTTGAAGAACGGATAAGCAAATTAGAGAAGAAATGTGGAGAGGCAGAGGCCGAGTCCACTAGATACTCCAATAAGATATCTGAACTTGCATGCGAACTTGAGGCATTCCAAGCTAGAACATCAAGCCTTGAAATTGCACTGCAAATGGCCAATGAGAAGGAGAAGGAATTGACAGATTGCTTGAATTTAGCAACTGGTGAGAAGAAAAAGTTGGAAGAGACGTCTCAAGGCTCCAGTGAAAAGCTTGCTGAAGCAGAAAATCTGGTGGAAATTCTGAGGGATGATTTAAATATGACACAACAGAAATTAGAAAGCATTGAAAATGAACTTAAGGCTACTGGTTTGAGAGAAAGTGAGGCAACGGAAAAGCTTAAAGCCGCTGAAGAGCAACTAGAGCGACATGTAAGAGTATTAGAGCAAGCTAGTACAAGGAACTTGGAGCTTGAGTCATTACATGAATCTCTAGCAAGGAATTCAGAGGCTAAGCTCCAAGAAGTGATGGAAAACTTCACCAACAAGGATTCAGAGGCGAAATCTCTGTTTGATAAACTTAAATCTTTTGAAGATCAGATAAAGGTTTGTGAAGATCAGGTTGCTGAAGCATCCGGACAGTCTGCAAATCTAAAGGAAGAATTGGATCAGAGTTTAACAAAACTGGCCTCGTTGGAAAGCACAAATGAACAACTCCGAAAAGAGATGTTGGAAGTAGAAAATAAAGCTCTTCAGTCTTCTTCAGATAATGAACTTCTTCTTCAGACAAACATTCAACTCAAGGCCCGAATTGACGAGCTTCAGGAATTGCTTAATTCTGCTGTTTCTGAGAAGGAAGTAGCTGATCAAGAAATTGCTTCTCATACGTACACAATTAGAGAATTATCAGTTCAGCATACAAAGGCCTTAGAACTTCGAGCTGAAGCTGAATCCCAAATTGTGGAAGCAGAAGCACGTTTACATGAAGCTATTGAGAAACACACCAAGAAAGAATCAGAAGCCAATGACCTGATTGAAAAGATGAAAGTGCTTGAAGGACAAATTAAAACATATGAAGAACAAGCTCATGAAGCATCCGAAATTGCCGTATCTAGAAAAGTCGAGGTGGAAGAAACTCTTGCAAAATTAAAGCAGTTGGAGAGCTTTGTTGAGGAGCTTCAAACCAAGTCATCTCACTTTGAAAACGAGAGTGGAGAACTAGCCGGGGCGAATTCGAAGCTTACCCAGGAACTTGCTACATACGAGTCAAAACTCAGTGATTTGGAGGCCAAACTGGCGGCTGCCCTGACAGAGAAGGATGAAACTGCTGAACAACTTCACTCGTCAAAGAAAGCTATAGAAGATTTAACGCTGCAAATAACTTCTGAAGGGCAGAGATTTCAATCACAGGTTTGGATGAAAACTTTCCTAGCATCTTAATAAACAGAAGTGATGGTTTCTATGTTTTTTTTTTTTTATGTTACAGATTTCTTCACTAATGGAGGAGAATAATCTGCTCAATAAAACCCATCAGGATACAAAGGAGGAACTTCAATCTGTAATAGAACAGCTTGAAGAGCAATTGAAAAAAGAAAAGGAAAACGAAAATTCTCTGACATTGGAGATCAGGAATCTAAAGGACGAGATGGCAGAAAGTTCCAGGATTCAAACTCGTGATAAAGAGCTTGAAGAACAGTTGGTGAAGCTAGAAACTCAACTGAAAGAAGAGGTATCATACTCTGTTAATCAATAAGTAAACTGACTTCGGTTTTTCCAAATTTTTTTGCTAGTAATTCTAACCATTTGGTTTGTCACTTGTAGGTTAACAATCTAAGATTGGCTGAATTCACTTCAGAATTAGAACACCGTGCACAAAATCTTGGTGATGGAGATTCTATCAATGCACAAGTTCTTCAATTTCAAAGAGATTTACAACTTTCCCTGAGAGCCATTAATCAACAGGTTAGACTAAATTTATAGTCTATGCTAGCTGAGCTGCTATTTCTGTTTGCAGTAATGAAATTTGAATTTATCATCACTGTCATGTTTGAAATGATCTGTTCCAAAGAATGGGGAGTAACTGTGTTTTTGGTCAAATGTCAAACAGAAAGAGGAAGATTCCCGGAAAGAGTTGGAACGGGAAGCGATTTTAAACCGTTGCCTTGAAGAGCTTGAAGCCAAAAAGGAAGAAACACGACTACTTGAGAAGAAGGTCAAAGAGTTGGAAGATAAACTGCAATTAGCTGAAGCTAAAGTGAAGGTCAGTTCGTAGTTTTAATCCCTCCTTGGCTCTTAGCTGGTCGTTTCATGTATACTTTGGGCCCTCAATATGAAATTTTCTGCTTACTCCTGAATCCCGTGTTGCAGGGGGATAACGGTTCAGCCGAACCGAAGGATGAAGTAGGGATGAAATCCAGGGATAGTGGTGGATTAACTTTTACAACACCATCGAAAAGGAAGAGCAAGAAGTTGGAAGAGGCTGCAAAGCAAACTCCGTCCTCCTCTTCTTCGTCGATTACGCACACCGAGGCTTCTTCTCCTTTGACCACCGTGAAGTTTATAGTGGGAGTGGCTTTGGTATCGGTGATCATCGGCGTTATATTTGGGAAGCGTTATTTGTTTCATTGATATTGCATCTGCCCAAATATAATGTATGCACCGCAGAGTGAAAAGCTTAGTTTTGTGTATGCTTTTCTTTTGTTGGTGGAGGAACTTGTTTTCATTCCTTCCCTTTGCTTGTTTGTCAAAAGATAAATACGGTTGGTTTGTATAATGACATCATTCTAGACTGTATTATGGTACCTTTCCACATGTTTCTGGTTTGTTGACGAGAATAGCTAATGCTCTACCTAAGTCCTGCGTGTAGATGTAACCCTGTTATCTTTATCCAGGCTTTCGAAAAGAGCACGACAGAACATTGTGTACTTATTTTACCTATATCACAATTAGGTGAGCAGAACTTTGAGAAAGAACTTAAAAAATAAATTTTGTATTGACCATATCGAGTTGTTTGAATTATTTGATTTTTTGGTGTCAAACTATTCAAACTACTTGATATTTTGAGTTCTAATCGAATTGAATTTTACTTATAGACTCGATAATATTTTTTTGTGTAATTGTGTTCATCATGGTGTTCGCGTCTGCAACACATAAATACGTACATGCAAGTGTTCTTGACGAAGAGAAAGTAGGGTTTTAATGCTTTGAGGGGGAGAATGAAAGGAATTGAAAAAGTGTACTGATAAAATGTTTTATCTAGGAATACAAGGAGAATTACGTGGCCTAATCTATTATAGGGATGTAAACAAACCATGTTCGAATATTGTTTAACTCAATTCAACTCAAAAAGTGTATAATTAAACTCAAACTAAAAAAATCATAAATTTAAAACTGTCAAACTTAACTCAAACTCAAAAAAAAAACAAATTAAAACTTGATTTGACTTAAAATAAAAAAAAAATAAAGCTAAACTCTACTAAAAAACTCACAAGCTTAAAATTTTCAAGTTCAACTAAAAGTCAAAAATTATAAGCTTGACTCAAACTAAAAGAAGTTTTCAAGTACAAAAACTTTACATAGTAATTTAAAAAAAAAGATTATATAAATGTTAATGCTAATATTAATAAAAAAAACTTAATTTAAAAAAAACCAAAAATTTAATATATTATTTTTTGCATGTGGCTCACGATCTTTTCAAGTATCAAATAACATGTTTTAGCTCATTAAAAATTCAAGTCCATTAAATTTGAGAGTTGATCAAACTTTGACTTAATTGATCTCGAGTAACTCGCTGTCCCATCTTAATTACATCCCTAATCTATTGTACAACAACCAAACATAAAAAAAACGAATTACATGAAACAAATAAAAGTTTGAACTCAATTGCGTGGGTTGAGTCGATCGCATTAACCAGTGGACTCACTCCTATCCTAAGAAACAACTTTCCAAACAGACTGATATCCAACAGATATATCATAGGTAAATCCAATTCCCATAAATGCATGATCTAAGCAAAATCAATATGAACTACCACACCAAGACCTGCTTTTGCACATGTAAAGAAACGGATGGCATTACCAATAGACTACCGACGCACCAAATTACAAAAATGAAAAACGGACGGCCATTACTAGAACAATATTTTAGGCAATTTCAAACAAGCTTAGCAAAACCATGAACCCTGTAAATCATATGACTGCAATCAAGTAACAAGCCAACTTGGCTCGAGAGAATGAAAGGAACCAAAATAAGTACAACAAGATACAATGACAGAGTGAATCACATTTAGTCGGATTCTAATTCTCTTAAAAGTATCGGCATCAAGCACATGCCCGCAATCGTCACTAGCAATAAGCAAGTCCGGCAGACCAAAAAGCTAGCACAAGAATCCAATGATTACTTTCAAGCCAAAGGAACACACAAGGATAAACAAACCCAAAACCCAACTTCTAAAGTAGAATACAGAAGATTGTACATGGGTAAATTATTGTGCTAAACTAATCAGTAATCGATAGACAAATAGTCACCCTAAGATGACAAGTGACCGGTCCATGCAGAACTAAATCGAAAACAGGCTTTAAAATCTAATAACATTCAATCCAAAAGTAGAACAAAACAACAAACTGCGTCACATCAATTTCTCAGGCGGGCCAAACAACTACAGTTCAGCAGCAATGATACCACAAATATGGTCAAACATTGAAGAACGTACTAATTCAAAGAGTCAATTATCATCTTCTAACAAGTATAAAGCCCTAAAGCAACCACGGATTTATAAGAAAAATGAGTAAATAACACAACATCATATAACAAAATAACCCAGAAACATATAATAGAAAAAGATTCAAATTCTCCCTTAAAATGCAAAATGTTTGAAGCACTAGGTTGAACGCCAGACGTTCCTCTTTCAAAGACGATAACACAATACCAAAAAGAGCCTCAAAACCTAAGCTTAGTAAAGAACCACCTGTTCTTCCCGGTCTTGAACCTCTCTTCAAACCTCTCCTTGGTTGCCTTGCAAGCAGCCACTTTCTTGTCCTTGGTCTGAAGAGCATCGACGGAAACCACGTCCTTCAAGTCCACATCGAGGGTGTAGCGCGTGGGCATCAGATGCTGGTGATTGACGAGCTTGACGAAGCACTTGACGCGTGACTTCTTGGCTGTTTTCTTGGCGGAGTCCTTGCGGATAACCTTGCTGGGGTACTTCTTTATCCCTGCAACCAAACAGTGACCATAGGGGCGGTCACGGGTGCCTTCGTCGAAGGATTTCACAATGACCGCTTTGCGACCGGCGTATCGACCTTGGAGGACGATGACGGCCTTGTTGGGTTTCAGAAACTTCACCATGGCGACGACGGCAGCGGCTGCTCGTCTGGTTCTGTCCACGCAAAAAGTCCAATCCAAATCGAGAAAGAAAGGATAACTAAAATGAGGTGTATATATATAGTACGAACTAGTGAAACCCTAGCATTTTTATTTTTATTTTCTAGGTTTCAGTGGGCTTTGAGCCTGGACTTCAATTCACCCTTTTATGAATAGATATAAATTTTAATCTGATTTGTTTTTGTTATTTTTGAGAAACTAAAACACAAAAAAAAACCCAACACTATGAAATACTCAAGTATTTCAAAACTGAACTAATGATATAATCATTAAATTAAATGATAATATAATTATCATAAAGTTTAAAACAAAATTCGTTGCAAGAGATTGTAAGATTCATTTTGGGTTTCAAAATCGCATATATTTGATCAATTTAGTGCTATAAGTTAGACAAAATATTAATTCAAAAAATAAAATAATAATAAAATAAGTTAATATTATTATTGAATCAAACAAAGAAAAATAGATGCAAAATTAAAATAGATTAATAAAATTGTTTATTTGTGTGTAGACATGGAATTAGATGGACAAAGATGTTGAGTCATGTATGAACAGTTTTCTTAAGATAAACCCGTCATCTCCTCAGTGCTTTGAGTGGTGTTGGACGTCTGTCTCTCAAGACACACTAACAAACGATCACAATGGTAAGCACAACAATATTGACTAGTCAAATACAACATTGTATTTCTCTATCACCAGAAGGAATGAGTTTGGAAAAAAATTCCAAAGTCTTTTCCTTTTTCTGGAGTTGTATCTCAACTAGCCTTTATAAGGTAGAGAGGAAATGAATTCAAACTTTAAAACCGTTTAATGAAGAGATTTGACATTCGAGGAAGAGAATTGTTGAAAAGCTAATAGTTATAATTAAATCGATACAACTTAAAACAAAAAAAATAATAATAATAAATCTATACCCCAAATTACATTACTTATTAATAATAGGTCTATTCGATGACACAATTTATTATCAATATCATTCATTAATTAATTATTTTGTAATCGATTTGAGGAAATGTAAATAACACATGTTTGAGGTGGACCTAAGTTAAAAATACAATGAATTAATTTATGAGAGTCGATTATCAGATTGTAAGATAAAAGGTAAGTAGATCGACACTGGACAAGAAACGAAGTGTGCACTGCACATTAAGTTGAATTTAATAATTTTTAAAAATAATATATATGCAATTATTTCCCGTGAGAGCTCAATACATCCATTTCTGCTAGCACGTAGAAGCTTACAATACTTTTCTCCTTATAGCCTCTCAACCAATCACTTTCAGTATTGGTATCTTTAGACCATATTGATCTCTATAGCTCACTCCTTCCATTTTCGTTTTCTAGATGCTTTAGAATATTAGGATCAGATCAACACACAAAGAACCAGAATCTCATATATAAATTATATTTTGTGATAAAGTTTTATTCTTTTATACAATATTTTCTGATATGTGGAATAGAATGTTATAAGAAAGCTGTTTTAGGGGTTCACATTGTTATATTTGATCTGATATTTTTTTTTATTAATCTAGGGTGTTTATAAGTATTTGTTTTAAAGACTCAACCATTTGATAATAAACTATCAAATACCATGTAATCTCTGATACTCGAAGCTAATATCTCTAGAAATAACAGCCACTACTTTAACCATTTAATTGGATATTTTTTAAAACTAAATCATACGATAATATTAGCATCAAATCTTAATGATATTTGGAGTGAGGTTAATTATTTAGTAAATTATTTTTTGTTAAAAGAATAGTAGTTGAATAAATTATATGTAATTTTATTTTATATCAGTTATAACTTTTATAATCCGTTTTAGGTTATTTTTTAGATTAATATAATTTTTCAGTAACCTTTAGATGGAACCTAGAAAATTACATTTTGGGATTTATTATATCAAAATTTGGGTAAGGTCGAAAGTTTAATGGAAAAACAAGCTCTTTCCAGCATTGTTTTGAAAACCGGATCGGCCGGTTCAATCGGTTTAATCAGAAACCGTTGTCTAGTCCGGTTCAATCTAAACCGGTTGAACCGCTACTAGTAAATCGGTCAGAACCGTTGAACCGTTCAAACCAGATCGGATGAAAACCGAAAAAAACCGGAAATTTTTTTTTAAAAAAATAAACCAAACATCGTTTGTTAAACTAGCCAAGTCGAACTTGAGTATTGCTGAGCTCGACTCGAACTTGAAAACTTTAAAAGTAAGCTCAAATCCACTCAAACTCACAAGTTAAAAATTATTAAGTTCAACTCGAACTCGAAATATAATATTGAAACTTGAACTCAAAAGGCTTGAACTAAAAAAAAATTTAGAAGCTCAATTGAAGCCTAAAATTCGAGCTTGATTGAAGTGAAAGAATATTTCACTTAATGCTCACCAAAATGCTCCATGATTTTGAATGCCAAATTACATCTATTATTTATAGAAGTTAGTTGTGATGCTCTTCTATGTTTCTTAGCAATGTGAGATTGTTTTGTTATCATATTTTTACTCTTTAGACTTTTGGGATGCTCTTCTATGTTTCTTAGTCATGTGGGATTGTTTTTTTAAAAAAAATTAAACCAAACAATATCATTTTGTTATGATTTTTTAGCCCCAAATTTATTTTTTAATTATAGTTATATAATTATATTTATTATTTAATATGTTTTACCTTAAATATTATGTTGTAGTTAATTTGAATTATTTTGTTTCACTTGATTTTATGGTTTTTAATTTATATATATTATGACTTGCTTTGAATATGACTTGTGATATAAAAAAATATTTTTTATTAAATATTTTTGGTATTTTTATTTAATATTTTAAATAATTATGACGTCGTCCGGTTCTTCCGACCGGTCAGACCGGTTGAACCAGTGAACCGGTAGCATGGCCGGTTCGCTAACCGGTCCGGTTATGAAAACCATGCTTTCAAGACGTTTTTTGCCTTTCTTTCTACGAAACTTAAATTATAAATTTTGCACGAACCAACTTACCTCAATGGTTAAAAGATTTGTTGTTCTTAGTGGTTATGAGTTTGAGCACCAATGACTGCTAGGCCTATAAATGAGACGAGATAGATCGTGAGATACTCGAGATTAACTTGGTCAAAGCTCGTAAATACTCGACTCGAATGGACTTGATTCGAGCTCAAGCTCGACATTAGTTCTTAACGAGTTGAAACAAACTACTTGATATTTAACTCGAAAAGCTTGTGAGCAGTTCGAAAATATAATATATTAAGATTTTTTTTAAATATGCCTGATAAGGTTTTCATGTATTTAAGGCTCAAGTTCGAGTTTGAATTTGAGACTTTAATCGAGTTAAGTTTAAGATTTTTTTTTCTTTTCGAGCTTTTATGAGCTTCAGTTCATGATTTAGAGTCGAGCTTGAAAATTTTAGGCTCACGAGTTTTTGAGTAGAGTCGAGCTCATTTTCATAGTTTCGAGTAAAGTCGAGCTCAACAATACTCGAGCTCGACTCGACTCGACTTGTTTACATCCCTAACAATTGCAGTAAGGTGATTGCGTGTTTATTGTCAAATGATTAAGAGTATTTAGAACAGATACAACTTTATAATCACCTTAACTTTATAAAAAAAAAATTTAATTATAAATTTTCTTTAAAGAACATAAAGTTTCATATCACTCGGTACACTAGGCATCATTATTTTCATCAAGTAATTCAGGCAGCTGTAGCCGTTGTAAACAACTTTATAAAAAGTAGATTTAGAAAAATTAAAAAGAAGGCTAAAAATAGGAGTGTTCATTTTTCGGTTTTAATCGAATTAATCGATCGAACCGAATTTGTTTAACGGTTAATTCGATTTGAAATCAGTTAATTAATTGAATTAACCGAAATAAAATTTTAAATTTTAAATATATTATATATAACATATGGGCTCAGCCCAAACCATTTAAAACCCAATTAATAATTTAAGATCCAACAATTTTTAAACCTAAATCAATCTTAATTAATTAAAAAAATTCATATAAAATTTTATTTTATAATTATATATTATTTAAATTAATTGTAAATTGTTTTTTTGAATTTAAAAATATTCAATTTATATAAATTAGAAAATTTTAAAAAATTTCGATTAATTCAAAAATTAACCGAATTTTATTCGGTTCGGTTAATATTTTCAAAATAAAGTTCGATTCGGTTAACGGTTAAAGAAAAAAATTTGATTAATTCGATTAATGGTAATTCGGTTCGGTCGGCCACCGTTTTAACCGAATGAACACCCTAGCTACAAAGATAACGGAGATTAGCACGTCATGACCGTTTGGTGGTAATTTATAATTTTGTATTCAGTGTTAACGTTAAAATTGTTAGATCATAATATCAACTTTGTAATTCAGCCGTTACAGAATAAAAAAAAATGTTATGTAAAAAATACAATAGTGTAGTAGACTTGATATATAATTTGTATATAAAAAAGTTTTGATTTTCTAAAAGTGCAAGCCTGTTGTATACTTGCTTTGATTTCAACAATATTCTGTTGCAATACCGTACGTATTATTCTCAGTATGCTCTACAATTCACTAATGTTATTGCTTTCTGTAAAGTATTATAGCATCATATTCCTGGTGTGGTGTATCATGTTTAGGGATAGGTATTTTATCTGGACTCGACAATTTTTATTCGATCTAATTGATTTGGTTAGATCAATTATTTTTGTTTTGAAAATTCAAGTTTAAGTTGGGTAGGATCAAGTTTTTTCTTTTAAAGACAAAATCGAGTCGGGTCAGATTCGGGTTTAAGATGAAAATTCTTAATCCAATCTTGTATGATATTATAATTATTCTGTCGGAACCGTCTTTAAGCTTTTTAGGGCTATGACGAGGAACGATCCAACTTAATTTTAGGAAATTTTGGGTTTCAAAATAAAGAACAAATAAATAGATTCAGAGTCGATATCGATCTTTGGGTTAGGTAAGTCGATTACCTAAAAAATATATCTTTTAAAATAATTTTAAGAAAAATAATTTTAAAAGATAAAAAGTAACATGCGTTTAACCTGAAA